AGCCAAACAGGTACACGCTCTGTCGGATGTCGCCGTTTAACGTAACGTACAGCTCTAGGAAGAAAAAAACTGCAGGAAGGACGCGAGCCATTAAATCGAGGGTTATCCACCTTTTATCCAGCGGATAAAAACTGTGCTGGAGATAGTTCTCACGACGAGGGAGATGGTAAATCCATTTCACCCTGAAGAACTGTACCGGTGCAATTTCGTATATCGTACGCAAGCAGTATTATTACAATTATCGCGGACGATCGGAATGCGAAGCAGGCGCAAAAGTGTCTGCGCGCAGTTGGATAGTAGAGAACGGTTTTTAGCCAGCGGACAACGAATTTACGAGGATCCGTCTCTGGCGCGTTCATTGAAACTTCCGGCGCGGCGGTTGAGAAAAGGGGGAAGCGACCCTACGGTCTCCGCAGAGGACTCGCGTGTGCGTGTGGGACGCGCGGTGTGAGTGCCGCAACATGAATGTAACGCGCGCAGAGTTCGGGGGAAGGGGCTAGACGGTGGACGTGAAGCTCGATTCACACGATGCGAAAGATTTATCTGGAAAACGAGTCGTTTCTATCTGAAAAGTATAAAAATGGGAAGGCACTGGGCGGAGCTTGGCCGTCCCATTAAGAGTTGGTCGATGAATCGATTTCATCGAACGAATGCCGCCTAATGAACGAACCGCTCCGCGCACGCATCGATCGCGGGGGAACGAGCTGAGCCAGTGACCACGGCAGAAATGGAATTCTCGGTACGAGCTCTGTGCTCCAACTATCAAGGCTAGCGCGGAGAGTTCATTGATGAATCTCTCCCTTTCTCTCTGCGGAGGTCGATCGCCTCTCTTCCCTGGAAAATCCGCTGAAAAACTGCCGCTCCGTTCGCGAGAAAGCCGAGAATAACCGAAGAAATGGCGAGGCTCGATCGGTTATTCGCAAACTGACATACTCGTTTCGAAGAACGCGCGATCCGCGAGAACCCTGGCTGATTATCGACGCGAGGGCAAATAGAGAAGCAGACGGTCCATTGGCGCCAGTTTAGATATCGCGTTATTATTACACGCTTGGCGGTGCGGGCCGATCGTTCAACCGGTCGTTTCCACAGAACCGGGGCATTCCGAAACGGGCTTGACGCGACACGTACTTACGTAGAAATGATTCGGTGGCGAGGGACGTCGGCCAACGAGGCCTCCTGCAACCGGGCCAAAGAATTCGCGTGCATTTTTCCATTCATAACCGCGAGATCTATATTTGGGTCAGGCATATCGCGTGAATTCGTGGCACGGCGGTATTTTCAGATGCACACTCTGGCCAGAGTTCGAACGGTATATACGCGATCGATGCGCGCGAGAGAGCAATGACTTCTCGAAATGCGAGCCCGTCGAAACGGAAAGTTTCAAAACTCGAGTATCGGATCGTTTCCATTCGGCCACGCTCTCGCGATCTTCAACGACGAGGCTGAAAAGGAAACGGTTCGTTTTCGCCGATTCCGCGTCGTCGTTCGTCTCTAGCTTTGAAAGTTTAAAGCGCCAGAGGACTTTCGCCCACGTATGAGAAAGCGATACCAGCGCAAACGAGAACGCGGAATCGGCTTTTTCTCGTTTAATCGCGCACCTAGAGTCGCTGCGTGCTATCTTATCAGTTGGAAAACATCGCGATAATTCAAGCGGATGCGTAATCGTATCGGGACAGAAGAGCCGATAAGAAGAGGCAAAGGACGTTCGTTTAACGCGCAAAATCCACGTTATTTTGTTGCTATCCCGAACGCGTTCTATCCTCGTAGCGTAATTTAATTTGCCACCGATCGCAAGAAGCGAATTTAACAGCCTCTCCCTCGTAATTTAGCCGTGCGTACCTGGTAACCTGCATCTCCGGCAAATTGCTATCAATTTGCGAAAGCCGGGTAATTGGGTTGCATAACCGCGATCATAATCCGAGCCGCGTTAGGGAAGAAAAGAGGAGAGAAGAAGAAGAAGAGGGGAAAAAAAAGCGGAGGAAGGCTGAAATACGCGAGCTGCCGCCGCGTGTGTGTCGCCGAGGGAATATTATTAATACGACTTGTTCGCCTTGGCTCACCCATATCGATCACGTCGATAATCGATAAACACGTACTTGTATACCTACGCCTCGCGTCGAGGGCCGCGTGCGTCGCGCGGTGTCGTGGCGCGCACGTCGCAAATTGCAAATCGTCGCCACCGCCAAATAAGAAAAACCTATCTTGTCGCTGGGCGCGTGTGCACTGCGCCTCGTGACGCGCATATAAAGCCCGCTTATCTATCGCCGTCCACCGACAGTCCGCGTAATTTAAACCGATTTATTGGCAAAATCCAGAGATTTATCGCTGGATAAAACCGGGGTAATTACGCAAATCCGCCGCGGTTCATTTTGCAGAAACCGAGACTTTGTTACCGAACGATCCTTCGTCCTCTTTCTCGTTTTCGGGGATAAAAAGAAGGCAAGTTTCGCTAGCGAGAAACCAGCAGAAACACCCTATATTGTTTCCTCCGAATTCCGTCTCGATGATTCCATTCGTCTCGATCCGTGCACGTGCTACCGCTGTTGTTTTTCTTTTACCAAACGATACCCACTTTTGTTACGATAACGACGATGCTTGGAGGAAAACCGCGTCTCCCCACCTGCTGCTGCATTCCACGGAGAGCTGCATTCCACTTTCTAGCAAATATTTGAATTCGCGAGAAAGTTACTTTCCGTGGCAACAATGTGAAACGTTTGACGAATTAATCGGGGTCCCCCGTAGCTTCTTCTCCGGCCGTACGCTCGCGGTGAGATCGATTAAGAGCCCTCCGTTTTGGCAAAGATCACCGTGTTACACCGATACTTTTACATAACAATTTAGGTCGTTCGCACCGACCGCGACGCGGAACACGCGTTGCGTCGCTGAGAAACTGCCAGCACCGTCACTGAAATGTCGTCGTTTCGTTGCCAACGCCAGTTTCTTTTCCTCCGCGAGAGCCCCCGTGTCTTTCTAAAGTAACTATGTACCTAGCTCCGTTTCAATTTCTCACCTTTGCTGCTCTTTGCCCCCACGGAGTAGGTGTGGGCTCGTGCCAATTCTTCGACAAGTTTTTTCAAAGCGCGGAGAAAACTTTAGATAACAACTATTTGCAGGAACGACCATCTATCGCAGTTCTTATCGAGCTCTCCTCTGTTTTTAACGCCAACGAGATAAGACCGGAGCCTCGACCCGCTTCGTCGACGCCTACCAACGTCGCGAAATTTTCCTTCCAAGTGTCGCCGACGTTAGGTTCAGTTTCGGGGCTTACCTTGATGTCCAGGTGGGCCACGTTCAGGGAATGAAGGAAGGCTATTCCGCCCAAAATCTGTTTCAGCAGTCTGAGCTCTTTAAACAGGCAAAGAGATTACGTGAACGAGAGAAATGGAACGAAACGTTCTTTCGAATCGATCTGTCGCGTATCGTCCGGTCAAATATTTGCGTCTGGATCGATAGCCGTTGGAAAATCGTTCTCTGGAATTCCTCCGCGAGAGAGATTACTCGTCGTCTTCCACGAAGGATAAATCTAAAGAGATTGTATACTTACAATTCCAAAACCAAGACCATTTCGGTGTTGGTCTCAAACACTTGGTGCAAGGAGACCAAACGCGAACAATTCGCCGCGGCATCCAGCACCGCGACCTCGTGAAGCGCTTCCGCCCTTAATTCCTGTGCTCGCCTCCTCTTCCTGAGGAACTTTGCGGCCCACTGCCTTCCGCTGGATCTCTCCCGACATCTCCTCACCGTTGCGTATTTACCTCTGTTGTAACAGAAAGAAAAGGGGCAACTGGTTAGAAAAGTTAGGAACAGAGGGAAGGAAGCTGTACGTGTAAACGCTTTACTTTCGCTCGTCCATTAACGTTGCTCGCTCTTTTCTAATTAAGCTTAACGTGTTCGCGTTTCAATTTTCCACTCGGTAAATAACGAATGATCTACATTGCGCGGAGGGGTGGGGGGAAGGATAGCGAGCGACGGTCGATCCTAGAACCAACTCGCGGCTCGCTGTAATCCGATGATCTAAACAGCCTCTAGAAAGCGAAGTTGCGCGGGCAACGCTCCTGCCGTGCCACTCTTTCGATCCTCGGCCTGCCAGGCCCAACAACAACGACGCGACGCGGTGAAAGCATCGCCGCCATCGCCGCCGCCGCCGCTAATCACACG